AGAGAGAGAGAGAGAGAGAGAGAGAGAGAGAGAGAGAGAGAGAGAGAGAGACACCTAACAGAGCTGTTAGACAGAATGATACTCTCGATTTAAAAAAACAAAACAACTGGGTACAGGGAAATCAGACTCAAGTCTTCTGTGTGTGGCAGTGAAACGCCTAACCATCACTGGACTGACGCTGATTGCAGAGGACAGTATTGGTATCAGCAAGTATGGTGCTCAAAAACTGCATGATTCAACAATTTTTGATAAGACATTTCCTTTTCCGTAAATCTACATCTACTATCCAAGCCAAGGCTCTGAACACACAAGTACGTACGCATGAACAGGGTCTAAAATTTTCCGAAATGTCGTACATTAAATAATAGCTAACAGTAAGTCTTTCATGCGCACCTTTTTATGCTAATCAGATGGCATCAATTTGATAGGAATTGATAACGGACAACACCCCCCCCCCCCCCCCAAAAAAAAAAACTGGGTTTGTCGAGCACCAATCCCCCCCCCCCCCCCCCCCCAAAAAAAAAGTACTGGGTTTGTCGAGCACCAATCTCTGATAATATAATATCAGCCTCAAGCATGATAAATTGTGAACAGCGAGTCAGTGAGTTACTACTTCTGCCGAAGTTTAGATTTTTTGATATTTGGGGTAATAAGGCGAGTCATATGCCATACTCGAAAGGTTGAAAAAGTGTATAGCATGTGTATGTGTTTAATGCCCCTTATCAACACTATTAGGTTATTTAAGCGGCGAGAATTTAACGTCCGTCTCCAATAGGACCAAGCCAAATGGGCCGAGATCCATAAAAACTCCGCAAAATGACTAGAGTTTAAAAATCTCCCTATCTGGAATTCGAACCACGGACATCCGTTCCTCAGTCCAGCACTATACTATCTCAGCTAAAAGATGACCCTTGAAATATTGTAACAGAACAAATAACGTTTATTTGTATTGCTGCAACTGGCACACAGTAATACTTTCCAGGATGTTTATACTATTATTTGGGAGGAAAGGCAGGTTACAAAAAA